GTGCAGCTCTGGAGACTGTGCTGCTACTGTGCTGCCGTTCCATGTGTTCTCCATGTATGCCTGGGCACCCCTGAAGAGCAGCTGTTTCGTTTTCTCTGCAAAAAAGGACAAGGTGGGAATGGTAACGGAAAACTATCTCGATCTGGTTTCCCATTCCAATGAATATTATCTTCCCCAAGAAAGAAAGAAGTCTGCTGTATCAAATTATGACAGGCTCTCCTACCCAGAAATGGGCTTCCATTTCAGAGGAAAGCAAAGAACAAAGCTGCCTTGCAGAGTCAGAGGAGCCCATCTAGTTCAGCAAAGTTTATGGGAGTTGCCCAGACACCAAGGACTGAATCCAGAACCTGGCATGTTCTTAGGTATCACAGTCATAAGTGATGACAATCCAAGAAAGTAATAACTACCAGCAGTAAGGATCTTCTCCCAAATTTCTTAAACATTTCCATCCCCTCCCCCAAAGCAGTTCAGCAACAGTTTTTAGTTCTGTTTGGAGAGCATTGAGACTCTTGATCTCAGGGTAGTAGGTTTGAGCTCAACATTAGGCAAAAGTGTCCTGCATTCTTCTTCTTTGGCGGCCACTCGCAGCCAAGTAAGATTGTCTTCCAAAGCAGGGTTTTAGCAGTGAGTCCGTAAGTGACTGTGGAGGCCAGTTCTGGATCCACACATTCTTCCACAGTGGGGACATAGGTTTCCGGGCGGGAATTGATCATGGTGAGGGTTTGCCAAGCAGGCCTTCCTCTCAGCACATTTCTCCCTTTCGTCCTGAGTTTAAGTGTCTTCAAAGCCCATGACACCTTTGGTTTTGACCTTTAAAGGTCTATGCGGCCTAGGACCCACTCACCTACGGGACCGCCTCTCCTGGTATGCCCCGTGGAGGACCTTAAGGTCCACAAATGACAACATTTTGGAGGGCCCAAGTCACAAGATGGTTAGTGTCAGGGAACTGACATCAGAGCAAGAGGCGAAGGGGAGGCTCCCAGATGATGCTGGCGAAGGACCCAGCACCAGGGGGAGAAGCAGCTCGGTAGAGGGGGAAGGAAATCAGCGCAACACCAGGGATAAAGGGGGGCAGATGGGGGAAGCGGAGAGAGAGCTCCAGGACTCTTCACTGGACATCAGTGAGGAGAGCACAGGTCCTCCACTACCCACGCCCTCCCTGCGCAGAAGACTCCCGCGCAGTGAGAGGAGGAGGAGATTGGGAGTCAAACAGCTTTTATGCTGGAAGAGGTTTAAGAAACGCCCACTGACAGATTCTGCTAGCGACTGAGGTAGCCACGCGGAGATGGGCTGTGCAGTCAGAACAGTTTAACAAGGCAATTTAGCCTAGAGAGGCGGCAGTTTACGCACGAGTAACTCATACCCATTACAGTTAGGTTGGCCTTAACTAGGGCCAGGGCCTTTTCAGTGCTGGCCCCGACTTGGTGGAACGCTGTGTCACAAGAGACTAGGGCCCTGGGGGACTTGACATCTTTCCGCAGGGCCTGCAAGACAGAGCTGTTCCGCCTGGCCTTTGGTTTGGACTCAGTCTGACCCATATGTTTCCCTCCCCTTTATGATTTTTGACTTTTAAAACGAGACTGCATTTTGAATTGCATTTTAACCTGTATTTTAAATTGTTCTTTTTCTTTTTTCTTATTATGTTTTTACTGAAATTTTATTGGTGCTAGCCGCCCTGAGCACGGCTCTGGCCGGGGTATAAATAAAAAATTATTATTATTATTATTATTATTATGCAAAGTCTGTTCTCCAATTGGAGCACTTTCAGGGTCGTAAGTTCAAGCCCAACATGGGGCAAAAGTGTCCTGCATTCCAGGGGGTAGGACTAAATGACCCTTGTGGTCCCTTCTAACTTTAAAATTCTATGATCACATCATAGGAGGAAAGGAAGGCTGCTTCTTTATGCTACCTACAGATCCCTTGCTAGGTTCCGAGAATGTGAAGTAGCTCACAACTTGCCCAGATGGCAACAACCCAAGTAACAGACCCTACTTTCCCAATACTGTATGCCCATCAGAATTCAATCCCCCATTATGAGAACACCAGTCCACATTTCAGTCACTGCTCATTACTCACAGGATAAAGCAATGACCCCAGATTCCTCTCACACAAGAACAAAAACAAACATATGCAACTCATCTGCACTTTGTATTTTATCAACTTATTATACCACAAACTCTTACGACCACCAGTTGTTACTTAAAGTCAAGGGTTTGTTTATGTCCAAGCAACAGCTTATACAGTAATAAGAACCAGATTTCCCAACATGCATTGCATTCTTAAGATTTAAATGTGTAATAGATATACCAGGTTTGACATTTAAAGGTTTTTATGTTGCACAGATCCCTGCAGCTGTGTTAGTTGTGGCACAAAGAACACTGTGGCAAAATTAGGGCATAGGAAATGCGGTGTAGGGTGAAAATGAGGGGGAGAGACAGAATATTTGTGTACAGGGAGCGCGGGAGGGTATATGCACCTTCCACCAGATGAGTGGCCATGCATTCATGTGCACAAAAGCAAAGCTGTGTGGTTTCACACACAAAAGCACACCAATGTGCGATGTAGATAAAGACGCATGAATAAACATGCAAATAAAAAGAAAGCGAGGTACAATGGAGACAAAACCAAATTAATTAGCAAGGAGCTGGAAATCTTAAAATCACATTGCAGAATCTACCAGGAGAGATCACACTGCAGAATATAACCAGGATTAAAGTTAGAAAGTGCAATGCAGAGTGACTCTGCAGCAGGAGTCACCAACTTTGGGGGGACCACACACACACACACACACACACACACACAGTTGCAATCAAGTACACAACTTCTTCTATTGGTTAAAATAGAGTGCTTCTTTCAAGCCTAACTTCAAAGTGGAGCGGCAACCACAGCTTTACGGCAATGTTTATTTCTATCCATTTCAATTTGCATGTGGTTTCCAAAGCCAGGGGAACTAGGCTGTCACAGCCTCACCAGCAACCGCTTGTGTTTCCTTGACAGGTTAAAGAGAGAGAAAATATATCTCTGCCGCTTTGCTGAGTAGTACTTTAATCCTATTTTCCTCTTGTAAAAAGGCCCTGTTTTCAGAACCTGATTCAGCATCCACAGAAGATGCAAGGCAAGCAGCACAATAGCATTACCTAAGCGCTAGTGCCCCCAAGGGAGGATTTGGGGGTAGAAGTCCAGAGCAGTAAGGCAGCAGAATCAGGAATCTCCCTCCCAAAACACAGCAGAGCTGGTCTGCCATGTGTTTCATCACACAATGCCCATTCCTGTCCTAAAGAGTCGAAGGCAGTTAAAAGAAGTCTGGAGTGTAAAAATCGCTGAACTGTACCAGTTGCCGCATCAAGCAGTTGGTCCCTTACCTTTCCCACCCTGACCCGCCCACAGTGATCCATGCAACGGTCACCTCCAGGCTTGACTACTGTAATTCGCTCTACGCGGGGCTGCCCTTGAAGCTGTCCCAGAAACTCCAGCGGGTGCAGAATGCTGCAGCGAGGCTCCTCACGGGGTCTCTGCCATGGGAGCATATTCACCCAGTGCTTTTCCAGCTGCACTGGCTCCCGGTGGAGTACAGGGTCAGGTTCAAGGTGCTGGTTTTGACCTTTAAAGCCCTTCACAGCCTAGGACCCTCGTACCTACGGGACCGCCTCTCCCGGTATGCCCCATGGAGGACCTTAAGGTCCATAAATAGCAACACCCTAGAGGTCCCGGGCCCTAAGGAAGTTAGATTAGCCTCAACCAGAGCCAGGGCCTTCTCAACACTGGCCGGGTGGAACGCTCTGTCTCATGAGACCAGGGCCCTGCAGGATCCGATTTCTTTCCACAGGGCCGGTAAGACAGAGTTGTTCCACCTGGCCTTTGGCTTGGAGTCAATTTGATTCCCTCCCCCTCTTTCTTCTTTTCCTTTCTCCTCCTGTGATGAGGCTGTGTTTTAATTGTTTTAATGTTGTATTTTAATCTTGTTTTTAAGTTGTATTCATTCAACTTGTTTTTATTATTGGTTGTTAGCCGTCCTGAGCCCGGCCTTTGCTGGAGAGGGCGGGGTATAAATAAAAATTATTATTATTATTATTATTATTATTACCACTAATTCCTGGGCGCGTGCAGAGTGCTCTCCTTTCATAAGAAAAAGCAGGCAGGTTCGAGGTCAAGCACCTCTATGCTTAGAAATGCTGGGAGGCAGGGCGAGGGGGGGGTCTCTGCTTCAAGAGAGAACCCACTGATCCCTGGACATGTGCAGAAATAAAGACCAGGCATGCTTAGTTAGGCTGTGCGCTTAGCAGGGAAAGGCTGAGAGGTGCGGAGGAGAGGGAGGAAATCTCTTCAAACAACGCCCTCCAGGAAAGAACCACTGCCCCTGGGCATGTGCAGAGTGTTTTCCCTTCAGAGGAAACAAACACCAGGCAGGCTTGAGCTGTGTGCTTAGCAAAGGCTGGGAGATGTGGAGACGGAGGAATCTCCCCCTTCCAGAATAAAAGGGGCTTTGCTCCATTCTGCTCCTTCCCCCACCCCCACCCCGCTGAAGCGTCCAGTTCTCGCGAGAGAATAAACTCAGTTCTCGCGAGAGTGAAACACTGGTCAAGCAACGGCGCCCTTGACCAAACTTTCGTCCTCGCGAGAACACGGCTCCGAGCCCCTCCCTCGCGCCCAACCGCCGCCTCCTCACCGAAGACCTCGCGCCGGTAGCGCTCGCCCTGGACGCCCTGGCTCAGCTCCTTCAACCTCACGCGGGTCTTCAGCTGCACCGGGGAAGAGTCCCCGAACGGGCAGGAGCGCTTCGGCATCCCCTTCACCTCACGCCACGCGCCAAGGGAGACCAGCGGAACCAAAAGACGACGCCTTGCTTTTTATGTAGCTGGCTGGGCCCTCCCGCGCGGGAAAATAGCGGCGTCGGCAACGCAACACAAACTTCTTTCGGATCTCGCCGCCGCGCACCCCGCCTACTTCAACGTCACGGGGCGTGTCGGCCAATAAGGAAGGACGCAGAGCGGCGTTGAAAGCACAGGTAGGCGGGGCAGTGGCGGGATTTCTGACGGTGTGTGGGCGGGGCTCTAAGCAGGGGCCCTCCTACCACAGGAACCGTAGCCCTGATGTCATCGCTAGGGGGTGGTGCCGAGGCTCTTCCGGGTAGGTAAGTCGTACTGTTGCCATATATATATTTGTTGCCATATATATATTTGTAAACTGTTTTCTGGCTTTTCTTACAATCAAACGCTGAATAAATGCTTATGAAATAAAAATTTCTATTTCATTAATAAAATGAAAAATAAAATAAAAAAATAAAAATTTCTATTTCTTTGGGCTTGGCTTGTTGCGTTGCTGATTTCGTGAGATGTTCAATTAATTAAAGGGCGCAGCTGCGCACAGCTGAGAAGAACCTCACCCAAGGAGCTTGCTCTTCAAAATGTTGCAGCAAGAAAGTAACTATTCCCAAACGCGGCTTCCTCCTTTCTTAAACCATCTTCCCCTGCACTTATCTCTTTGCGTGCTCATGAGCTCACACGGGCACAGAGTGGTTTCTAACTGCCCTTCCTTTCTTTCAAATTAAGAACCTAGATTGATGTTCCATTTGCAACCCCTTCTTGAACATGCATACCAGGGCAGGGGTAACTGGCCAGTAAATTGTACGCCTTTGAAAACTATACAGAAACGCCAACTGGTGCAAGGCACAGTAGCTAAATCTGGAATCTCTGCCAGTTCTGGGGAGCACCTTGCCCCTCCCAATCTTCATTTATTTTACAAATTTTGTTGGGCTTTTTTCTTATATCTTGGGGAACTCAGCAAGGAACACATGGGCCCAGTGGCATATTTCTTAGGAAACCAGGGGTGGGACGGGACTTGAGGCTGGTGCTTTGCCTTCCTCTTGGAAAGGGTACTGACAGGTGAGCTTGAGCGGTGTAGGTAGCACAGCATAACCAGGTATTGAGTCAGGTTGTTGGTCTTCACCTGCAAAGCATTCCCTATGATGGGCGGTGGAGGTGTGCCAGGTGGCAGCCACTTCACATTCTCTGGCATCCTGCTGCTCCTGAAGTTTCTGGAGTTCAATGGCTTTATTTTTGCAGGAGCAGAATTACCCTGGCAGGAACTTGGGAGAGCTGAGGACTGAAGCCCCGGATATGCTGCTCTAATGACTGTAGGAGGATTGCACTGCTCTGCCTTCCCATTATTTTTTGTCTTCCTAGATCCTCTTCCTCTGCTGTCTTCTTTTGGCTGTCTACCACAAACGCCAATCACTACTAACCTGATGGCAGACAGTTTGAGGTGGTCCCCATGACATTCTTAGTTTTCCAAATGTGCCCTTGGGTTCTAAAAGGCTGGCGCTAAGATTATTTAATGAAACCAGCAACATGGAACATACATTTTACCAATGTTAACCACTGTTAAAAGATTTCCCATCTGTTTAAGGTACAATTCAGGATACTGTTTTTTCTTTAAAACACAGTAGGTAGTAGATTAGATCAAGGACTATCTGCTCCACATTACAGGCTGTAGCACATATATTTTATACTGGCGAGGCATTTGAATACTGGGGTAAACTATTTTCAGGTGTGGTTTTACTGATATTTTATGCTGCTTAGTTGTTACTGTTACAATATTGTGATTTATATTATTTGTTGTTTTGCATGATTGTTTATTGGTTACTAGCTACCCTGAACTCAAGATGGGAGGAAGGCCAGGATCTAAGAAACTTGAGTAAAAAAATATGGACCTGCCCAGTCATTAAGAGCTCCTTCAGAGATTAAGGGCCTTTGCTGTGGATTTGCCCCAGCTGTAGAACCCTTTCCCCAAAGAGGTTTCAGCTGAGCTTTTGGGACCAGGTTAAAAGAGTTTCACTGACCTCTTTCTTCTACCACACGCACAAACCAAGTCGATGTAAAAACCAGAACTGCCCCCTGGACATACCATTAGCTAATTTGCTACAGATTCTCATGAACAGCAGTGGAATATTGATCAAGATTTTCTGTGAATGCAAAAGAAGACTCAAGAGACCAAATTCTTACTCTTGTAAGGCTTTATAAAGCAAAGGAAAGAGCTGTAAGATAAAAGTGTACAGCCCTATTGACCATATACAAAAATAAATCAAGAGAACACTTCTAGTGCATCTGTTGAATTTTGTGCACCCAGCTAGTATCAGCAAGTGTGATATAGAGCATCATAAAAGTGTTATGCATGGAACCTGACCTTTTTACTGTAGTCCTTGCTGTGATGCACAATTAAGACATTTTCACTGTCTTGCCACGCTGTCCTCAACCCTATTAATTCAACCATACCAATTTGCTTCAGGTTATGAATATTAAATGTAACCTGTGAAACTAATTATAAACAAATTTCAAGTGAATGTTCAATATAATATTTAACAGGATACCGTCAAGAGAGTAGCATGCATTGTACAGAAACACATTTCTTATCCTGGTTTGAATCACTGTGGCCTGTAACATGATTCCCTAATAAATAAAAATAAATTGAATTTTATTCAGTGCTATTACTTACTGAGAACAGATTGCAATTAAAATAACTTAATAACATTCTTCATAGATTAGTTAAAACAGAATAAGGCTACAGAACAAAAGGTCAACTGTGATTTAGTGCAAACTAAAAAAGCCTGATGTCATTGGGCATGATGTGCTAGTGAGTTCTTCGATGCCAGCTCCACTGAAGTGAATGTGATTTATCAAAGCAAAGTTCTTGCACAGCTCACATTAATTTCACTGGATGTTGCATGGGAACACTTCCCAGTAGGCTGTGGTTCATGTTGCCCCAGGTTAGGCTGCTCAACTGACACAGAGTTTGGAAAGAGGTTAAGCATCCTATATTGCAAGAATGCAGCAGCTTTCTTCTGCAGCCGGCTTTCCATATACAGTGGTGCCTCGCAAGACGAAATTAATTCGTTCCGCAAGTTTTGTCGTCTTGCGTTTTTTTTCGTCTTGCGAAGCACGGTGTCGGGAAAGTTTTGGAAAAGCTTCAAAAATCACCAAAGTCTTTAAAAACCTCAAAAAAGGCTACCACACCGCATTCTATGAGTTGCTCCTCGAAGTCAAGTCGCAACTGCATTAACGGTGTTAAGAAAAAGGAAACAAACTTGCAAGACGTTTCCGTCTTGCGAAGCAAGCCCATAGGGAAAATCGTCTTGCAAAGCAGCTCAAAAAACAAAAAACCCTTTCGTCTAGCGAGTTTTTTGTCTTGCGAGGCATTCGTCTTGCGAGGTACCACTGTAACAAATATCATCTATTGAGGATGCACTAGCTCTGGATAGTCAATTGCAATCAGGAGATTGGACAAGATGGCCTACAAGGACCCCTCCTCCTCTTACAATTCTGTATGCATCTTGTTAGTAGCGTAAAAAAATATGTCAAATGGGCAAAGATAATGGACAACAATGCCATTTCAAATTACAAAGCAGGAAGCAAGCCACAAGGTGCAGTAAGCCAGTCACTCCTAAGTGATTATAGAGCAAAGCTTGATAACTGCAAGGCAAAAGGCCACTTTGGTGGACTTTGTCCAAATGCATATACGCCAAGGCACCATGGCTTGAGGGAAGAATTCTTGGGCTATTTGTGACAGCAACGAAAACTGACTTGGCAGTGGTCCTCCTGCCAATTAAAAGCGCTTTTACAAATTATTTAACAAAACATTTAAGTCTCAAAGTGAAGTCAACATAATCTGTGAATCAGAAAGTTAGACTTCTCAAAAGGGTGAGGCCCACCGTGATTCTCATAAAAACATACAAAAATTATTCCAGAGCAGTCTGTTGCAGCAAACACAAAGAACCCCTTGGCACCTTAAAGACTAACAAGTGTATCACTGAGTGCGGGCTAGAGCCTACTTTGTCGACATGAGGTAGGTAAGCAAGTATTACCTGCCATGTTACAACTGGCAAAACTAAGGCAGAGATAAGGACTAGGATCCAGAGTTGTAAAAGATTGCCCACAAGGTTTTTCAGCTCTCCTGGCAGCAGCCTCCGTGAGAGGATGCCACCAAAAGGAAAAATTAAGAGACACCTTTGTGCAAGCACACACACTACTCTGGATCCCAGGAAAGGCATTGGTGACAGTCCAACCCACCAAAGCTCATTGGTTTTCACTGGGCTTAGGCGTGCTTAAGTTCAGTGTTGAATTGTAACCATTAACTAATAAACAGAAGGCAGTGAGAGTCAATGCAGTGCTCTCTGTTCCTGAGTTTCTATTAGTTATGAATAACTAAACTATAACCTCCATTTCCAAGCTGTCCAAGGCAATGGTATTGCAAGGGGCAGGGGCCACAATCCCCCACAATAAAAACGACACAGGAGCACCCAGTTGCAACACACCTTGGCTGCTTTCTTTTAAAACTTGTTCATTGCGTAATGGTAGACCTTCTGACCTCAATAAGGTCAGAATCACAATATTTAGGATTTGTATAGCCCTTTCTAGGGTTCAAGGCACTTCACAGGCAATATCTAGTTTTAATCCTTCAAACAACCTTGTAAGGCAAGCATCCTCCGTGGTACGGATGGATGGACAGAGGCTGACGCAACCTTTGCTACTGGAAGCAGTGACCTTAAAAGTGCATCCAGATCAACATTCACCATTATGTCATTCTAGCTTGGCACTTCATTGCCCCACAACACACTCATATTCATGGGGAACATGTGGTTGCAATGGCACAATTAATCATTTTTTTAAAAAAAAATGGAGGCAAGCAGCAACAGATCCAAGCCCTAGGCCCTCTTCTTCACATGGATAACTACACAGAATAAATCAAAAAACCACACTGCTATTCTGCATGAACCAAAAGGATTCCTCCTTCATACACTGCTTATTTTGCTGGGATTGGAGACATTCATTATATTTAAAAGAATTGCTCCACAGTCCATAACAGCACAGCTCCATAGAAAAAAGCACTACCATTCTGTACTCGTTATTTGAAAGGCTGATGAGGAGCCGCTCTAGTTAACTTGTTTTAAGAACATAAGAAGAGCCCCCTGGCTGAAGCAAGTGACCCACCCTGTTCTTACAGTGGCCAACCAGGTCCCTACAGGAATCACACAAGCACGACCCAAGTACAAGAGACACTCTCCACTCCAGAACTGGTATTCAGATGTGGAGACAGAACACTGCCATGAGGGTTAGTAGATGACGATAGATAGACAGCCTTCATTGATCTATTTATTCTGTTGGTGATCAAGCAGCGGAGTGGCAAGTAATGTTAGTGGAAGGGAATCCACACTATGGCTTGGCAACATAGGGTCCAAGACCAGGGATCTACTCGGCTGTAATGAAGGATGTAGTGAAGCCACACCCGGTCCATGTAGTGACGCACTTCAGGATGTTGCAAAGATTGGCTTCCCAGGGCATTTTCTTACTTTGCTGTGGTTTCTTTGTCCTTTGTACTGCACAATGGCACAAGAGAGCACCATCTCTGAAAGACTTCATGTGGAGTGCCTATTGGGAAATATTTCAAGGGAAGCTCTTTATCACTTAGGTCTGTCGGCTATTTTCAGTTTGACCCACTGCCAAAAAAAAAAGGACTTAAGCTATTGCCTTCCTTCCTCCCATGACATAACTTCTTTTGCATCTCTTCTCCCTTTATATCTGAAGAGCTTTTATTTGGACTGCTGGGCTTGAAAGAGAATTACTGAATTGTGCTGGCTTTTACACAAGTGCAGTGCTCCATAACCAGCACAATTTTAAATGCCACATACATTGAACACTGCCATATTATTGCTTCCTGACATAGGAATTGGAACTTCCTCCTTACACCTTCTGCAATCTGGAATAAACTTCACTACTGGTAGCAAGTTGAAGAAATAATTCAGTGCAGGTTTGGCACTTTTTAAAATGTGACCTTAAGATTCCCCTCCCCAAAATTTCTGTTCTTATTCTGTGTTCCTAATTTTTGGATACATTTACTTGAGAATATGACAAGTACAAGGCATGTCTAATCATAGTCTAGGAAGAACAGCATCTTCATCTCAGTTTGGGTACAGAAAGGAACAGATGTACAATAAACTGCTTCTTGGCACATATGTTCTTTGTGTGTTTAAAAGAGCTGGATCATCGATTCCCTTGATTTTCCAACTCCAACCCATTTCACTGAAGAGGAGAGAAATAAAAAAAATATTAGAACAATTACTTGGGGAGTAAACAACATAATGGAATCTATTTTATGATGTAATCCTAATGTGTAGACCAGAGTCTTCAAGAGCAAATGAACTCCGAACTGCAGTGTAGTAGCAAATAGACATTTTAACATTTAACAATCTATTCTTGTGTTTTGCCTCTGAAGTTATACAGCTTCATTTTTTAAAAGGCACACAAAAAGCTTCTCCCTGCCCACTTCCCCCCCACCATGCAAATGTTATACATCTCAGCTACCTGCTTACTCACTTTTCTAAACTAAAAAGCCCCAAATGCTGTAACCTTTCCTCAAATGGGGTTGCTCCCTCCCGTTGATTATTTTGGTTTACCTTTCTGAACTCCCCCCCCTCCAATTCTACAATATCCTTCTTGAGGAGAGAGTACCAGAACAACACACAATATTTCAAAGGTGGCAATACCACAGATTTGCACAACAGCATTACGATATTGGTAGTTTTGTTTTCAGTCTTCTTCCTAATGACTCCTAACATGGAATTCACATTTTTCACAGTTGGACAATGGGTTGACATCTTCATGGAGGTATCCCCTGTGCCTTGAATATATATTGTTCCTGGTCAGTGACTGCCAGTTCAGATCATGTAAACATTTGAAGCTGGCACAGGGATTTATTTACTTTTTACATGTTGTGGGGCAGGTGCCTTTTGGATTGGGGGGCACAGCCCAATGCAGGACTTCAGCATGGATGGCTCTAAACATTGGATAGGGAAGCATAGGAGAGGGGTCAATCACTACAAGGTTTTTCTAGAGTACTGCAAACAGTGCTTGGGAACCGCTGATCTAGTCAAATCCCCCCAGAGCTAGAACAACTTTTCTGCCCAACTGGAAATAATTTTGCATGGTTTGGTGGACATATGGAATGCCTCCTAGGAAGAGTGCCAAAACGATATGTACCTGCCACCCCAACGTGGTTCTCCACAAACCGAATGTAATTTTGTGCCTTAGGTGGAAGTTCCTCCCATTTTCTGGCACTTGTTGTGTCGGTTTTCCACCCTGGCATCGTTTCATACTCCACCTCCACTTTCTGCAGTATTTCCTGGTTAGCTTCAAAAATGAGACAAAGTGAGGATGTTTCTATGAGCTCAATGGTTGCAATCAACTGGCATGAACAAAATTCAAAGTGTAACTGGCTAAATTTAAACTAGATTGCATGACACATGTATGGCAGCTCAGAGGTACAGCATGTGCTTTGCAAACAAAAAGATTCCTAGGTTCAATTTCTGAAGTCTCTAAGGAGGGCTGGAAAAGACTCCAACATGAAACCCTGGAGAGCAACTGCCAGTCAGTGTCAATTGTGCTGAGCTAGATGGACCAATGGTCTGTCTTTATATAAGGACAACTTCCTATGTACATAGGGAATAATGGAGAGGGCATTTGGTTCTGCTTACCAAATTCTGGCACTTTAAAAAACAAATATGAAGTAAACTCTAGAGACCTGTTGACACAAGCAACAACACTAATCGTAGATTTGTAGAGTTGGGAGGGACCACAAGGGTCATCTAGTCCAACCCCCTGCAATGCAGGAATCTTTTTGCCCAAGGTGGGGCTCAAACCCACAACCCTGAGATTAAGAATCTCATGCTCTACCAGCAGAGCTGTGTGCATACACTTGTAATGTAGCAGTTAAAAGGAGGAAGGTAAGGAAGCCTGATATTAAGAAACTATTTAAGCCATCGATACATACCTGGAAAATATGGAATTCTTTTGCCACCCAGCTTGTAAGCTACACCAATTTTGATTTCATCAAATACATCCAGAATATCCAGTTTTGTTAATGCCAGGCTGCCCAAAAGAAACATGGGGTAAAATTACATGTAAAACAAATCCTCACTCAACACCTTTAATCCCCTCCATCTGTCTTCATCTGAATTCATTCGGCAAAACTGAATGAATAAATATGAACACAAGAGTAATCACGGAATAAATAATAAATAGGCATATTATAGGTACATTAATAAACATGTTCAGAAACTTTGCAGAATATGAAGTCAAGCATTACATGCATGTATTTTAAAGATTAGGTACGATTCGTTTAAAAACCTGAATGCAGTGTGGGGGTGATTTTTTAAATTTCTTATTGATCTGCTGGAACCAACCCAAATTTGGAACCTCAAGAGAGGACTAGGAAACCACTTCTAGGACATGCTCATTGGGCCAATGCAAATGCAACTTGACCCTGGGGCTAAGGGGTTAGGGGCAGACCATGGAACTGCATGCTCTCTTGCTTCAAAAGCCTCCTCTCTCAAGCAAGCATTCTCATCACCATGTTTTTCGGTTAGGTCAGCAGCCTATGAACCTTGGTTAATGCTAATCGCTGTTCCAGCTTAGCTAAACTGTGCAGTGCGGAGTGTTGTATCCCCTCCCTTAATCTTGCCAAACTGCCAAGCAACTCCATGTTCAAGCCACAAAGCACCTGGCCATGAACACGGTTTCCTTTTGCCTGGCTCTTATCAACTGCTTCACTCCTCCTAAACATTGTGAGCAGTGTATATTGCAGTCCTGTCAGCAATTCCATATAGACGGATACAGTATTATCCTTATGACACCTGGAACAATTGGCTCTTATCAATGCACAAAACATAACACTTTGCTAAGCTAATCTTATTTTAATGTTACCTACATATTTGTACTCCACGGGATAAAAAGTTATGAGTTCCAAGTGTAGCTCAAAATCTGTGATGCTTACGCAGTGAATCCGTTGATCATATGGGCGTATCTCAATATGACAAGGTCAAGCCAGCCACAGCGCCTTTTTCTGCCTGTGGTCACTCCCCATTCATGGCCTCGGGACTGTAAGAGATCTCCCATTTCCTGCCAGAGACAAATATTTAGGTGAGATTTCTGCAACATTAATCCTAAGCATCAGGCGATCAATGTAACATATTTGTTTTATTTAAAACTCAACAGGTGTGTGATGTACTAAAAACCAGAAGTAGAATTCTAATTTCCATACTAATTACACATTTTTAATCTGAATTATAAATTGTGTATTTTATCGCCAACTCAGAAAAAGCACTTCTGCTTAACTGAACAATACAAATTAGGATGTTGGACTGTATGATGCGCCTGAATTTTGGTCCAGGAAGGAGAAATCTGATGGACATCACTGCATGTTTGCCTACCAGGGTTTCACAAGAATGTGAACAGAAAAGATGGAGAAACACTACATACAGCATTGAAAGCCAACATTAAGAATTGATATGTAAAATTATTTTCTGAGTGCCAGAAGTACACAAGGAACTGATCCTCAAAAATATTCTTTCATCAATCACTTATTCTTATTTATTTTTATTATATGTCTTCCACACCATTAACAGAAATTCTTTGAGCAGGTCATAGGATAAAGGATGCTCAATTCAGATAATCCTTGCCTCCAAATGAAAGTTGGAGGATCAGAAAAGAGCATCCTCTTCCTGCAGTAACCAGAGTTTACCCCAACATTCAGTTTGGCAAACCTTAGTTAGCATTTGCCCTCCAAACCAGAGTCAGAAACCCTTTTGAAAGTACAGTTTCTGCCAGTTTGCACATCACAGGAAACAAGAGGAAAACTGCATGTAAGAGCAGAGGAATGGGAAAGAGGTCAACCCTTGTTCACCATCTACCAAATCACCAGTTTGAGAGTATCTGAGCTTATACAGTGGAACCTTGGTTCTCAACTGGCTTAGTTGACGAACAAATTGGCTCCCAAACGCCAAAAACCCGGAAGTGTTACAGTTTTCGAATGTTTTTCGGAAGCCAAACGTCCAATGTTGTTGTCAGCTATTGTTTCCAGGGTGCCTGCGCCAATCAGAAGCCACACCTTGGTTTTTGAACGTTTCAGGATTCGAACAGACTTCCAGAACGAATTAAGTTCAAGAACCAAGGTACCACTGTGTAATGATTCTGTTTTTAGCAGCTCATTTTAATCAGTTGCCTTTGATACAGTTGTCTCCAAATATGGTTTTTTGGGGGGAGGGGCTCCCCCCCCCACCAGCGCTATTGCATCCACCACTTGTCTGCAGAAGCAGACAAATCCTACAGAACAAAAATTCCAAATTGAAAGAAATACTGATTCTGCAAGGATACTGACAGATCACTTTAGATTCAGATCAAGGATGACCCTGGCAACAGGGATACCTAAAACAGCAGAATTATGAGAGTACATAAGCAGTATATATAAGAAAATTAAAGCAGCCAGAAGAGTAAAGTTATCACATAGGTGCATTTCTTACTTTGGAACGAAGCTTGAGATTTGTGTTGAATCTACTGCGGCCCCAAGATAAAATACGGCCCCTTGGCATAGTCTAGACATGTGTGCATTAGCAGGAGACCATCATCTTGTTACGACATTTTATCCCACTGACCTTATGTCTTTGCCTTTGGTAACACTAAACCTACATTTATCTGTTCAGTGGGAAAGGCTCCAATTCCCACTCTTGTTGTGTAGGCCTTCACTACACCATACACTTCTCCAATATACTGGGGAGGAATACCAAGCCCGGTGCACACACCGCCCACAGTGCAGTTGGAGGACGTCACAAAGGGATATGTGCCTGCCAAACGAAAGAAAGATGAATTACACATGGGTGGAAAAAAAGACTTTTGCTTATTCTATTTCAAGATGGCTTCTCATGTACATTGTTAGCTACTTCAATGTGCTTTAAAATATGGGGATAAGGGACCCCTGGTCATATCAAGGAAGATGAAGGAATGCACAGCACAGAAGATGAAGCACGAGCAAAATTCCACATATATACGCTGGCAGAAAAAGACATACACCAGGGATGGAGAACCTGTGGCCTCCAGATGTTGTTGGACTCCAACTCCAAACATTCTGGACCAATGCTCAGGCTGGCAGGGAGTAGATTCTTAACACATTTGGAGAGACACAGGTTCCCCTTGCCCTTGCACTATACCCTGTTACAGAATGGGAGAGGCTGAACAGGTGGTTTAGTTGACTGATAAGAACAGCTAGCTATACTTTTAGCAGTGTAACGTATCCTAACTCGCTCAATTTTTAGTAAGTTCTGACTTGGTGCACTCCTCTCAAGCCAACACACAAATTATGTCACATCTCAGACATCTTCTAATATGCCTGAAGATTCATGCAGGTGTCACAAATAAGCAGGCGTGCGTATGGAAGAAGAGCTCTGCCTATCCGGTTCAGCATCTTGTTTCCCACACTGGCCAGCCAGATTTCAGTGAAGGTATATAAAGTTTTGTCTCACCTTACCTGAGAAATAGGTATATAACCTTTCCTACCTCTGCACACACAGGAGATCTTACGGAGGCGGAAAAGTATTATGTTGTACAGGGAGACGTACCGAAATCAATGTCGAGCAGTGCTGCGTTGGCACCCTCTACAAGAATTTTCTTTGGAGAGCCATGCAGCGCTTCATACATAAAATAAACACCATCTCGGACCATTGGTCTTATTTTTTCAGCATAGCCCTGCAAGATCCAACACATACACAAGGTTAAATCAAACGTTTCTAGAAGATTGGCTGCAAGTCAAGAATAAAAGCATACCAAAAGCCAAACCGGAAAGTAACCATTTCTAAACTGTTAACTAGGTGGAGAGATCTATAAAGAATAAAATCAGGGTAGTTTCCTGTACGTTTCACTTTACCCAGGACAGTCACACATTTTCAGGGTAATACCCAAACTGCTATACAGACAGAAGGGATAAAACCCAAGTATGGAAAGTGGTCTTCTGCGTTCACAAATCATTTTCAATGGAACTCATACTGTCAACATATCTGGTGAAACTCAAGTGTACTTTCATCTTCTGAAATTTAAACATGCCAGACATAATCCCACATATCCATCAAGCAGATGAATATTCCTTTCTACTATGCCTTAAAACCCTAATTGGCACATATGCAGAAAGCTCCTTGGACTCATGAACGCCCACAATTCTCATTCACTGTTATGCCCTCTGCCAAGTATCCCCAAGCCCAAATATAGGCAGGACAATTCAGGCCACATACATCGCTACAGAGGCAAATGGCCCCAAACCAAACTATCAGCCAAACCATAATGTCTAGGACAGTGTTTCCCAACCGGTGTTCCGCGGCACACTAGTGTGCCGCCAGACGTTGCCTAGTGTGCCGTGGCGGCGGCGGCGAGGAGAGGCCGCCCAGCGCGGGGCTCTCGCCGTCTGCCTGCCTGGCTGTCTGCGAGCTCGGCGGGCAGCGCTTCCGCCCGCAGCGCCCGCCTCGCGGCTCTCATTCCCTGCCCCTGCCAAAGCTCACCCAGCCAAGCCGCGCTCTCCTTCCTGCCTCGCTTTGCTGCCTCCTCCCCCCCCCGCCCCCAAAGCTTGGAGGTTCCCCGGTGAAGGAAGGCAAGGGGGAGGGAAAAACCGTTAAGGGATGGCTATGGACGCCCCTTCCCGATTGCATACGCGGGCTGCAAAGAGCGAAGTGCCGCCGTGCCTCTTTTTGCAACGCAGCACAAGGGACCTCCTTAGGAAACGAAACACCTACGAGAGAAGGAGGGGACCCCCCCCTCCCGCTTCGTGTTCCAGCCTCCGAGATCAGAGGAGAGGAGGAGCTTGCCTTAAGGGTATACAGAGACCGATCGGCTTTGTTCAACCCGTCGCCAAAAGGTACAGGGGTGGGGGGGACTTACTCTCGAGCAGCTAGCTCGGCAGTCGCGGCTCACGTCACTATTCAAATGTTATAGCGTCCGTCTGTCTGTCTCCTCTGCGCCCAGCTCCACTTGCCTTGCGTAAAACGTTCGGTTTGAAATCGTTCCCTGCCAGCAAACTGCCCACCCTCTTCCCTCCGAAGTTTCCCTAAAACTACGTGCAGACGACAGGTTGTCGGGTCTTGCACACACACGAGGCTTGAGCAGAGTCAATGCGATCAGCCTGGAATACAGTTGTGCGGTCCAGGCCGAACTACACAGAGAAATCCCCGAACAGTGAGCAAGCGCTGCCTTCGCCAGCTAACCAGGGGCAAATCTCTCTCTTTCAACTTCAGCTCTCTGCCCATAAAGGGAAAATACGGTTTCTCGCTTGAGCTCGGCTCAATTAATCTCACATTGCTGGAGAAAAATAACAATCATTTCCTGCTATAAAGTATACAGATAAATATGTTTCGGATACAAGCAGAAAATACAGATTGGAAAAAGGCTGCAGAAGTAGAAGGAGGAGAGAAAAGCAAAAGCTACATATTTCATATTATACTACTCAATTTTGTATTAGAATGCTTGTTGTAATGCGTTAGTTGCCATCATCAGGCAGCTATTATCAGCCCTAATTCCAACCAGAAGTATTTTAACAAACTTTCTAACTTTCTTATTGTTGAAAATACATTGCAATGCAAATAATAATTCAAAACTCCCCACTCCAGATACCTTCTTGACCTCTGTGGAATCCAGAACTGTATCAGATGAATCCCATGGAGACTCTGAAGTGCATCTTAAAAGCAAGCATTAAGTTTGCTTTTTGCAACTGGAATCCTGCCATTTCTATTAGTCATGGGCATTCCACAGCTGACTCCTCCATCAGGCCTCAGATCAGCAAAGCCAGTGCTTTGCTTTAAAGCTGCAATCCTATACTGTGCACACTTACTTGGGAGTAAATGCAACTGAACTTTGCATTACCAAGTAAACATGTCTAGACTCATGATACTCATGAAAACTCAAGGTTCTTTGCTTGCTAAACTGATGGCTTCAAGGAAAACTTCAAACCACTGGAAGTCACTGGCAACGAAGAGCTGGACTTTTTAAACTTCACATTTAGGGCTGTGCTTTCATATTTTCCAGTTCTATGTGCAAAGAACATAACTCTGGAATAATTATATTTGGCACACTTAAATTACATGTGCATTTATGAATTCCCTGAAAGGTCAAAAAAGAAATCTGTACTTCTGAAAAGTCAGACAAAGCAGACTTTCTCCTACATAGAATTCAGATGCATTTACAAACAGATGTCACAACATAAATGTATGTCAAATGAGAGCACACTAAATCTTGACCACCTCTTTAATTTACTGCTTTTAGTTTTTAAAAAGATACTGTCCTGCCCTTTTCTTTATTACCACAATAACCTTTCAAGATCAAAAGCTTTAGATCAAAGCCAAGATCAAACTCCTTGCTTTAAATCCTCCCCCCCCCACCCCCAAAGCTTGGAGGTTCCCCGGCGCCGACCCGCAGGTTTGACCCCCTTCTCACACCTGTTCGCGCTCCTTGCACGGAATGGGGCGGATGGGGAGGAACGGGGCTCGCCGCTGCCTCTGCTCGCCCTCCCCCCCTCCGCCGGCGGTCCCGCGATTCTTGGCTTTTTGGCGGTTGGCACAGAAGGAAGGCAAGGGGGAGGGGAAAAAATTGAAACTTACACTTTCGTGCGTCCCTCCCGGCGTGACACTGCGCGCTGACGTCACGGGGCTGTAATGGTGGTGTGCCTCGAGATTTTTTTCATGAAACAAGTGTGCCTTTGCCCAAAAAAGGTTGGGAAACACTGGTCTAGGAAGTGTCTGCTCACAGTCTCTCCAAAGTGTTTTTGCGCAACTCCCATTCATATTGTGGGGTTGCGCAGGAAAGGTTCCTACTGAATTGTGACCACAGGTATTGTACAACAAGCAAACTGGTCCTGGGTATTTTAACACTGAAAGATTTCAATCACTGTACTACATTATAGTGTACTATCTTTTCTAGGTAAAATATTTAAATACTCTGAGATCCATGGAAAGCAATATACTGCATTCCACTTACGCTATGCTCTATCAGTTTCAAATTTCCCTTTCCATTTCAAATTCTTTTCTATTTCATAGGCTTTGTTATTTATAGAAAATAAAAATCAGTTCTATAATTTAGTTATATAACCTTGCTTTATTGTCTTAAACACTAAAGTATTACTAGTTTACCTTTAATTTTTTTAGTTGTCCTTCTGTGTCAACTTCTAAAGAAGGAAACATCGACTTGTACTGGTGAGCAAGATTCTTAAATCTGTAAAATATCAACAATTTACTAGCACACATATTTTTAAAGTTGGGTCTTATTATATAACGACCTTTGGCTATAGGTCACACAGAATGCCACAAAACAAAAGGATTCTCTAAAAAAGATACAGGAGACGCATTTTCAACCTGTGAAGATGGACTGAGCAGTACCCTGTTAAAGCCAACTAGAGACCTGGTATATACCTCTTGTCCGGGCACCAGTTTGTCTGAAATCGCAAATGACAATATTTATACCATTATTCCTTATAGCTAAGGGATATAGAAGCAGTAAGAAAAAGATTTCACTTTAAGCAAAAATCCCCGCCCACTTCTTGCTGTGTGCTTCAGTAGGATACCTTGAAGAAAATTCATCGAAGTCTGAAAGAAGATCACATATCCGAAGTCCTGTCCGTGCCGCTTTGGAAGAATAGGTTGGTCCAATCCCTTTCTTTGTTGTGCCAATACTAGTGAAAGAAGACAAATGAGTGGTATCAAGTCTTGAACTAAGAAGACTTACAGAGACACATACATTTTTAGAATGCATCAGAATAGAAATTGGTTGAAAGTATACTTTTTGCTTGACGACCAAAACCATTAAAAAAGACCCTCCTCTCTCCTCCATTTATTTGCCCGTTTCTTCCTGTTCTTTTGGCTGAGATGTAAAGGAAAGTGTGGCTCCTGTATTTTTAATAGTCATTAAGATTTACTGTATTTTTCTGTCTATAAGACGCCCCCATGTATAAGACATCGCCTATTTTGGGGGACTCAGATTTAAGAAAATGGGGGGAGATGTATCCATGTATAAGACGCCCCCTAATTTTTGACCTTACTTTTTTTAGGGGGGAAACGTAGTCTTATACACAGAAAAATACAGCATTTTCCCCAAAGAAGCTGGCCATGCACACACACAAAAATACAACCTTCTATACAATTACTAAAGATAAATGAATGCTGTCCTTTGTGTCCGATCACACTCTCTTGCTTGTTTCTCCATTTCAAATGAAGAAAATAGTGGTGGTACCACAGATGCAACCCCCCACTTCTTAAGTTAGCGCCTGACTCACTAGTTGAAGACCAATGACACAATGAACTGAGACCAAGCACTCCTGAAGCCTGACTACGTGGATGAAACAGTGGTGGGAGCAGTGGCACTGCTTTCAAATTACCCAAATGGCAGCCCTGCCCTTTCTATCTATCACCCTGTCTGTTTTCTCTTACAGGGCACTCTTATTCTGGAGCCCTTTTGACAAAAGGTGGCACAGAAATATAAACGATAAACATAATGGGTAAGATATAAATAAGTTCCCTGACCTCCAGTTCTATGTTGCTATTCTGTCACATACTTGCTAACCAGATTTGTGGTGCTGTGGGGGAACCCAGTTAATTCACAGTTAATTTCCAATCTGCCCCCAATCTTCTTTCTCTGGACTTCACATCCACTAGGGGTCAGTCACCCTTCTTTGAGTCTGTTCTTCAGTTACATACTATTAAGTGTGATTTCTTTCAGCAAGGGCATTATTAACAAAGTTTACACTACTGCACAACAAACAATGCACAGGACCAGAAAGCAGGGTACATAAAACTGACTTTTCATGCCGAACTGTATATGCCAACTTCCTACGCTCCAGTAGGTTTGCTTGTTTTCATTACTGCACTGCCAAATCTTTCAGAGCTGTTCTAAATAGGTCGACAAGGTATCACTTTCCAGCTCACTGACCTATCTACTATAACAGCCATTACGGGGGCATGACAGGGGTGGGCTGGGAGGAAGAGAAGCATGACTGCAAGCATAGCCTGGTAAAATACTGGAAACCTTTGCCATTCATCATGGGTGGAAGACGGGTTTTGCTCCTAATAATGAGGAATTCACTTTTACTTGAAGCTGAATTTTCCCTACCACATGCTGTTCAGACACTGTGGGATTCTGGCATACATACAACCTATCAGGAAGATAAACTGCTGCAAAGCTTCATGAAGGAGATATGCCTAGGGAACACTGTTGGATCAGATTCCAGCTACAGAAAAGAATGCATCTCCTTCTGTGGCCTGCCTGGGTGGCTTGAGACTAGCTATGAGCTGGACTACTTGCTGTATTTTTTATCAAGTCTCAGGGTGTGTACGCAACATTATTTCCATAGAACCATGAGGGCAGATTCCCACATATTGCTACACCTGATCTGATCCAGGATTAGCAGTAGCTTCAGTAACTACAAATATAATGGAGGAGAGGGGGAAATCCCAGCTGCTCTTTTTCCCAATTGCAGTTGCTTCTCCTAGCCCTAAACCAATCAATCAAACAGCGGCGTAGCGTGGGTTGTCAGCACCCGGGGCAAGGCAAGTAATTTGCGCCCCCTAACCCGTGGATTTGCGCCCCCTAACCTGTGGATTTGCGCCCCCTAACCCGTGGATTTGCCCTAACCCCAGATGTTGCGCCCGGTGCGGCCAGCCCCCCTGCACCCCCCACGCTACGCCACTGCAATCAAAGAGTGTTGAATTTGACTAGACCAGATTGCAAATATCTTTTGGTCTAGTCAACTTCACTATTAAGGGAAACCTCTTGAACAAAGGGGCAGTGCAGAAGGAGAGACTGCCATACCTCAATTTTGTTACCTCTAATATATAGCTCACATAGAGTATCAGACTGGTATTCCAACACCATTATATCTGCCTCCGGACAACTTAATGTCTTTTTAATCTCCAGGTTGTACAGGATATCAATAGTGCCCAAATTTCCCATAACTAGGAAGCAACATTTTTTAAAAATGTTTTTAAAAAACCCACAATTATATGCCAGTAGGTACCAAAAACTGAAAGTTCAATTCAGAAATACCATGGCTGATGTGAAAACAATTAAAGGGCTAGGAGTGAGTAAGTGGAACCACTGTTGAGCAAGACTTACTTTCAATTAAAACATACTAAGCAACAGGCTTTGTGGGATTTTTATGGGAAATAAAGCACAATATTGTCATGTGGAACTACTGTTTTAATTCTGCTTCCAGGTGATTGTGAAAGACCACTGCCTTGGCAGCACTGAAGTAGCCTAGAGCAGAAACAACCAGACTTCTTGTGAGATCAGCACCACATATACTATACCCTTGATATTTTGGTAATTACTTAAGGGCAATTAAAACTAAAAGTTTGCTGGATCAGACTTTTCTGAGCAGGAGCTTCCATTATGTCTGGGCCCCTATTATTCTCTTCAACATCCCACAGCATAATTATTACTCCATCCAGGAATTCAAAGGGTGCTGTCATGTTGCCTGTGGTCCCTGTAAATCCAGAGTTTGGTCATGCAGAGCTCTCTTGGAAGTCAATATTTATCATTTTTATTTATTAATTAATATGCTGAGGAGATCAAATACAGGGCACCCTATTCTTACAGACTTAAGCCATATCTATGTAGCAGAATTCAGGTATACCAAGATGCATAATTACTTTTTCCCTTCTTGCGCTTGCCGCTGCACTTCTTGAAGTCCATCCACTGCCTGGTGAAAATCAAACACTGTACAGCACAGGAGAAGAATCAAAGGAGACAAAAAAACAGTTTGGCTTTCAAGTATCACACACACATTATTTGAGTAGCAAAGAGACCAAGTTAAATAAGCCTTTGTGATTCTCAGTAACATCATTTCTGAGAGTCAAGCAACTGGATTGGATCCAGACATTGGATCCGTGATGTTTATGGAGTGCCTGCTCCAACTGTCTCTGTGTCTACATTTGTTTTGTTACCTTGTTAACATTGTAAGCTATTTATATTTTGGACGATATCTGGGGTTTATTTTCCAGAAACAGCAGCATTAAATGCTAAATACTAAATTGCCAGCAACTTTTAAATGTATCTTAATAAAAAATAATTTCTACTACTGGAAGGTACAGGTAAATGCTCCCTCCTAGTTCTATTAAAATTAATAGGCTTTTGCACCACACTTGGCATTTTAATACTGAAAGTTATTAACAAGAAATTGATGCATATAAAAGGATGTTGTTCTCAATACATAGTACTACTGATATCCAGCAGTTAGTAACTTATGCTAAATATATACATATATATATTTATGAGTATTAATTTTGTTGAATAATGAACTTAATCACAATATTGGCATTCACATAAGGGACTAGTTCAATAGAGGTGCCTGCTGGAGGAAGGGAAGGAGAAGGCAAATTTTGCAGAGCCCATCTCCCCCCTGCAGCTATTCTGGGGCTTCCCCCCTACTTCAAAAACCCGTAACAGGTTTTCAGGGAGCTTCAGGAGCAAGGAGTAATTGGCAAGAATCACCTCCCCACCTCCAGTCAATGAACTCAACTCATGGGAAGTTTTGATCCAACCCCGTACATATTAAGCAGGGGGAGGTGGGTTTTTTTAAAACTCTTAATTATTGCACTGAGCATATTCAAATAGAGATTACTCGCCATCTATGTTATGAAACACAAACTCTCCTCAGTGCAAATAATGGGTTTGGATGGCCAACAAAGATCCTATAAATGCAAAGTGCCTATAATTTGTTTGTATATAAAGACTTTCTCTACCAGACTGCCACTTACCAATGTGTGCCCTGTCTGATATGATGAGTCTTTTCTCCCAGTCTCTTAAACCTGTCAGAAGAAATGCGGTGCCAGTTAGGTTTCTGCTCCCAAGAGGCTACAACACTGAGATACAAGTTTATTCAGTTGTCCCATCAGTTTAAAATTATTTATTTAAAGAAAAGAAACGCAGACACATCAAATGCAGCAAATACACATGTAATGTATTGTGAGCAAAACCAAAACAAAATCAATATGTGCTCCTTATGGAGTGGTTTTTGTTAAGAGGGCAAAGTTCACATAGTAAGGAGCCCCCAAGATTGTTGGGTTGTTGTTGTTTGTTTTTACACACAGCTCCCTCCACAGCTATATTCAGCTAACTATAGTGCAAAAATACAGCCATGCTCTGGCTTCCAAGAGTGAGTTTTACCTCCTTCCATAGTAGGAGTTGTAAAATGCAAAGAAAGGAAGCAGTTTTGTGTTTGTTTGTTTGAAACATTAATTACTCCTCCTTGCATTCAAGGAACTCAATTTTGTGACAGCATATTTACTCAATTGTGATTTACAAATGAGGATATGGTACATTAAGAGGATCCTCCTCTGGATATTGCTGCGGCAGGCAATGTGTGGAACAAATTTTAGGAGCTCCTTGCCAGGTGAACATTCCAGCAACTTTCATACAGTTTGTTTATTCACTTGTGATTTGGGTGTCATGTTTAAATAATAGTATGCCTAAAGCATCTTATTATTTGAATGCATGTAGGCTTAGGCATACTATTATTTAACCATGACCTGTAAATTTCCCTGGTAAATGTGAAATTACCTGCAATGAGAAAAATACACTGCTTTTAAAGAAAATCAAAACATTACATACAAACCTTTTTTCTCATTTTTTTCAGCTTCTTCAAATAAGCCTGGCAAATGTATGACTACCCCATTCCCTAAAAAAGACATAGAAATGTGTAATCGTGACAGCAAACCATTAAACAGTCATCTTTCAAAGTAATGCACAAAGCATTGGGGTACTAGCAGTTGTCCTAATGCTTAAGTCAGACAAACTGACAATGGACTGAGTCAAAAACGCTTTCCCAACTCCATTAACTGAAGTAATCAATCAATCAGTCATCATCATCACCACCACCACCACAATACTCTGCCCATCTGGCTGGGTTGCCTCAGCCACGCTGGGTGGCTTAACACATATAAAAACAGAAGATCTGTATCCAGGCATAGGCAGACTCGGCCCTCCAGATGTTTTGGGACTACAACTCCCGTCATCCCTGACCACTGGTCCTGTTAGCTAGGGATGATGGGAGTTGTAGTCCCAAAACATCTGGAGGGCCGAGTTTGCCTATGCCTGATCTGTATCCATTCAATGCATTAACTTGGAATGCTACTGAATGGACCATTCAAACAAGCATACAAGTCCAAACTTAGTAGATCTTCTATAGATTCAGCTCTAAGCAGCTGCTTTGATACGTGAATTCCTATTACTTTTTATAAAGCTGCTAATTAAATTCCAGGAGCAATGGCAGTCATGCTGAAGATACAGGAGGATTAGAAATGTGGAGGGATGGGAACAGCTGTTCCTTTTGTTCCGAATAACACTCCCCACCCCCCACCCTGACCAAAAAACCCGCTATGCAATTGCTTCTCTTTGAATCTTCTGGAAATTTCTTATTTTCCATACTAGTGACAGTCAATAGGTCACCTGTGATATCAAAGGAGGGAAGAAAAAGCTGAGTGTTTAATCTTGTCTTACTGTTTAAACTTAACCTGATTCAAGCCGCAGTAGTGGAAACAATGTTATTGCTCACGCAATAAAGAATCCATTTATAGCTGAATTTCCCCAACTTGAATCTCAAGTCTCCAAACAAGACATTTATACTTACCAATTAGAGAAATTGCCTTGGGATTAATTATACCACTAGGGAAGAGGTGAAAATCATATTCCTTCCCATCAACAACCACAGTATGGCCTGCATTATTTCCACCCTGCCAAAACAAATACAAAAAAATGATTACTTAAATAATGTTAACCTGTTTTTACTATAAGCAAAGAATGCTATTGATTTGGACTGAAAATATGTGTTCATGTTTCTTAATCGCATTCATAGTTAACTGAATTTCAGCCTAATTATATTAAGGATTTGAAGTGCTATTGTTATTCACTGCTCATCTGCTTCAGAGGGGGTGGGGAGGAGGGTGTCACACGATGGAGATCTGCTAAGACAAAAAACAGAAGAAAAACAGCACCACTGCCCCCCAAGTCACTTTATTCCCACCACTACCACTTAGGATTACTCTGTAACTGATTTACTGTACTTCAATATTCATTCATTGCCTTTTACTGTACTAAGGTAGGTCAAATAAAACAGACTGCAGAGCTTTTCCATCTGCTCTGTTGTTAAGACCAGCTCTGCCAGGCTCCTCCTCCAACTGTTATCCACATCAACCATTACATCAGAGAAAAACTGGACTACATGGCTTCATCAACTCTACTGCAAGAACACTAACTTTTGGCTCCTCTGCTCCTTGAAATATTTCAGCTGTAGCTGCTAACTGAAACTTAATTTTTGCAAATTTCTTCATTGAAGGTGTCTTAAAAATATATGCTTGTGTGTAAGAAATTCAAATCTGCTATTTTTGTGACTGGGCAACATTTAGATTGATAAGTCTACGTAATCTTGCTTTTGGAAAACCAAATAATTTTTATTTTACCTTCTGTAAATGTCAGGTAATGTGCTACACACACACACACACACACACACACACAACTTTACGTACATTTTACTTACCAAGCAAAACAAAATTACATTAATGTAACCAAAATATAGTTTCTTGTAAGCTTCTCCTCTCCGAAAAATATCCATGGACATTTTGCATTTTGACACCATTGGAATCCACTTACTGTAGAAGTGAGTCCAGCTGCTATTACTAAATCTCTCTTATTTATTTACTCTTACGCAGTAACTATACAAAAAAACTGTGAAGTTTGTTTTTTCCTACTCTTCTCTTACAGCTGTTAGCCTTTTCACAAGACACCTTAATTCTAATTAAAGGTGCCTTCTCCATTTCAAATTAGAAACACTTGCAATGCGTATGCACACAATCATCAAGGTGATGTGGGAATAAATGTGACTTTTAAGAGGGAAAAGAGCAAAACATATTTACTGAGCTGTGCAGCATGTGCTTTGTACACAAGTAGCCAAAGAGGTCTTTTTATGATTATGTAGACAAATTTCATAAGATGGCTTTTGTATTTTCTGTGTCTACAATTATAAAAAAAGACTGCAGTGATTAAAAGTGTAGATTAAAAGGCATTAGACAGTAAAATTGCCTCTGTTCCCTTCATCAAATTATAGAAATACAGTATTAACACCCCACTCACCCAGGCAAGTTATACAAGGAAGTGAGCTTTGCTATTAACTTGCCTTCAAGTATCATAAATTCAAACAACAAAGAAGATAAAACAAGTATCATTTGAACTTAATTTTCAGTTACTGAATTGATTGTTACCCAGGATAATAAACCTAAGATTTTGATGAGGGCACTGCAAGCCAGCCTTGTTTTCTTACAGAGCTTTGGTAACTTTAAACTTGACCTTCTCATATAATACGGGTGATCCTGGAGCGATTTTATCAGTACCCAAAGGAGAAGCCCAAGTTTAAAATAGCAATGTCACCATGTAGTTTTAAATCCTCCACAGATGTAAGGACTCCCATAAGTGAGGCTCTTTCTTCAGATGCAAACAGATGCCCGGGAGATAGATATAATAAACAAAGAAGCATAAACAAGGTTGCCTCTGAAATGTATTAACAAACAACCTTTCTAGTCTTTTGAGATGTAAAAATAAATTAAGATACCCACATTCAAAACCTAAGAAAGAGACTGAAACAAAACCAATCATGAAACTATCATATTCCAGTTGGTTAGAGCATGATGCTGATAACACCAAAGGTTGCAGGCTCAATCCCCGTTAAGGGCCAGCTGCATATTCCTGCATTGCAGGGGGTTGGACTAGATGATCCTCAGGGTCCCTTCTATGATTCTACATATCTGCATCTCCCCTCACTACTCATTTTATTTTCTCTGACGTTCATGCTGTCAGAAGCAAGCTTTCTCAGGACTCATGGGATTTTTGCTTTGTTTTTCTTTGCTTATGTTACTAGACAGGCTGCCTCACTCTGGGTAATGAAAGGGCCAGTTTTAAAGTGGCAGATATTCATAGAATCAGACTGGTCCAACCCCCCACCCCACCCCGCCCCGCCGCAATGCAGGAATCTCAGCTAAAGCATCCATGACTCTGGTCATCCAACTCTGCTTAAAATCTTCCAAGGAAGGAGAGTCCACAGCCTCCCGAGGGAGACCGTTCCACCATTTAATGATATTGGGATATCATTAAAAGGATGTCAATAAAGGTTGTTATTTGTATCAAAGGGGATACACGCATACTCAGAAGGCAGCCTCACTGTGTTCACGAAAGGTTATGTCCAGGTAAATGCATGATTGTGGCTTTAGCTTATTTCACTTAGGAACAGTGCAGTGGGGCAGAAACACTCACCTGGCCTCCGATCAGTCACATCACTGCTGCTTACCAGCTGATGCAAGAAGAAGAGCAAGGGGACATGACATTTCTCCCCATCTAATTCCCAGTGAGCAGCAGTGACTGACCTGCAGCCAGGAGAGCACAGCTACCCCACCACTTTATTTTTTTTTACCACCGTTGATGGAATCTTTCAAGAAGTTGGAGATGGTGTTTGTAAGTGGTCCATGTTTCACAAGCATACAGTAGACAGGCGAACTAGTATCAGTGTACTGGATGAAGCAAAGATCACCAGTGTTGAAGCAATGATTCTTCAACATCAACTTTGTTGGACTGGTCATGTTGTGCGGGTGCCTGATTATAGTCTTCCAAAGCAACTACTCTACTCCGAACTTAAAAATGGTAAGCGTAATGCTGGTGGTCAACAAAAGAGGTTCAAAGACTCTCAAGACAAATCTTTTTTTAAAAAAGTGTGTTGTATAAACATTGAAACTAGGAAACACTGGCTTGCAGGTGCTCCATTTGGAGAACAGCCTTTACCAAAGGTGTCATGTGTTTTGAAGACGCTCTCAGGACAAAAGGGAGAAATGAGCTAAGAGGAAGGCATGCTTGGCAAATCCACACCGTGATCAACTCCTGCCTGGGAACCAAGGTCCCCACTGTGGGAGGACGTGTGGGTCCAGAGTTGGCCTCCACAGTCACTTACGGACTCATTGTTAAAACTGTGTTTATGGAAGACAATCTTACTCAGCTATGAGGGATCGCCAAAGAGAGAGAGAAAGAGAGATTTTTTTTACCACCATGGGTGGTGCTACTTAGATTTTCTGGCACCAAAATGTATCAGATCACCCCAGTAAAACACCAGTGTTGGGCTATATAAATAATTTAACCCATAAGACTTGGGAGTTCAGATTTTGTTTAACACTACATAAAGTATAGACACTTGCCCTCATTCTTAATTTAAAGCTTTCCCCATCACTTGAGAAAATGTATGACAGCATACTAGCTTTCATTTTCTTAGATAACTCTGTGGTATTAAAAGCCAGAAATCTGGCTCTGCTCTTAATCCTGTTTTTTGTGGGTTTTTTTAAATGCTGAATACCTTTCAAACCTGTAGTTAAAGAGGTATTTATGTGGCAAGATGAAGATTTTTGTTAAAATTATCAACTCACATTTGAGTACTCTTGAGAGGCGAACTGACACAAACCTGTTTGAGAGTAAGCACCAGTGAACTCAGATTTACTGAACTCGGACATATTTCTCAACTCAGAACTGTGCTGTTAAAATGCTTGGGTGTATTAGTGAGACCTCTCATTTTTTATTTCTTAACATCTCTCTTTGACTTCATTCTTCAGTTACCTTCCCACTCCACCCCAACACCTCATTCTGACATGAGGATGTGTTCAACATCTTCCACAGGGAAGACCAATAATATATTCAACTTCTCTCTCCCCTGCCCTTCCATCTAACTGTCCAAGTGCCTCTTATTCAAAGAAATTTTAATTGTTCAGCTTAAAAGAATTTCAGATGCATGTTAATGGACACATTGTTCAGTTGCTTTGCTTGTTTAGCCCAGTTTGTGCTCCTTCTGTTCTCAGTTGGGCAAGACTTTCTCTTTTTAAAGGAAGTATTCTTGCCTTTCATGATTTCCTTGATTTTGCTCATAAAGCAGCTGGCATCCGCTTGAATTTCATAATCTGTGGTATAGATTCTATCTGAGCCTCTACTATTGTGGTTTTAAAGAACCTCCATGAATCCTGAAGATATATTTTCTACTTCCTCTTTCGAGATGAAATGTTTAAGAATGTACCTTAACTTCCTGAGGATTTAATACCATATGCTAAACAGATGATGACCCAATAAAAGCATTGACTGTACTGAAAAAAGCTCTAAACAAATTGCGAACAATGAAAAGAAAACAAGGAGTGGGAATATTTGGGAGAATATTTTTTAAAAGGAGGTATCAGGGTTAACTGGCGAGTGGGATAAGCTTATGATCAGTAGTTGACTAGACAAGGGATTAGAAAGGATGGAGAAAGGAACAGGATAAAAATGTAAGGAGATGTAGCAAACAAAAGAATATAGACTAGGATGCCAATGAAAGATAAGTCGGGAAGTGTTTACTTACTATAAGATGATGAATGGATGTACTGTAATATGTTTTATGTAATTTGAAAAATGTGTAAAAATAAAGTGGGGGGGGAGAGAACTATGAAAAACACAGAGAAATTTAAATTCACTGACGGAAAACAAACTATTTTAAAATTCCACATTATTACTAACAGTTTTACTATGGAAAAACTATCAGAAGATTTAAAAGTGAGATCATAAGAGCAAGCTGGATCAGGCCAGTGACCCATCCTGTTCTCACAGTGATCAACCAGATGTTTATAGGAAGCATGCAAGCAGAACCTGAGCTTTTAAAAAATGTAAAGAGATAACCTGAGAGTTCTTGCTATGGTATCAGCTTCCCTCCAGCCTTAATATGAAGCCACTGAGAGTAGACACTAAGGGATTTCAAGCACGGTATAATAAGTATTCATACCCAGCATTATTTCTCAGTTGCATTTGCAACAGGTGTGGCCATGCAAATTCTAGATGAGTGTCTGGATGCTACAGGAATGATGCCCAACATACTGAGGCTGAATCTTGGTAAGTTGGAGGTCTTGTGGCTAGACAGTCCACCATTCCAGGAGCTGTGCAATTTGGGAAGAGTTGCACTTCCCCTGGAGCAGATGACATGTAGTTTAGGGGTGCTCCTTGATACATCTTTGTTGCTGAAGACACAAGCAGCTGTGTGGCTGGAAGCACCTTTAAGAGCTTCAGGTGGTATGACAGCTGCAACACTTTCTGGACACAGTGACACATGTGTTGATAAACTTAAGAGTGAACTATTGCAGATGTGTTCTATATGGCACTGTTCTTGGTCCAGCTGATACAGGATGTGGTGAACACTAGGTGCCAAAGTTCTTACCACGAACCTGTAACACTGCTCTTAAAAGCAAGGCATTAGCTGTCAATCAGCTTCTTGGCCAGGTTTAAGGTTTCGGTACTAACCTACAAAGCCCTAAACCTAAACAACTTGGGACCACCTCCAATAGGATCTCCCAAAGCTAGGTGAATGGGCACTAAAATGTCAACTGCAATTCACTGTAAACAAGTGCAAAGTGATGCACACTGAAACAAAAAATAAATAAATCCTATATAATACAGAGTCTGAACTGTCGCCACATGTCAAAAAGGTTACTGTAGCCACACAATGTTGCAAAAAGGCAACCAAAATTATCAGGCGTGGAACAATTTCCCCATAAGAAATGTTACAACATTTGGAACTTTTTAGTTCAGAAAAGAGGTGAACAGGACAGTTATGACAGAAGTGTATAAGATGACTTGTGGCGAGGAGAAAGCAGGTATGTTTTTCTTCCTTTCTCATACTATTAGAATTCAATGAACCTGAATGTTGGAAGGTTTTAGACAGACAGAAGGAAGTATTTCTTAACACAGCGCTCAGAGAAATCCACTGCCACGAGATGAAATAGTTGGCAAAACCAGCTTTAAAAGTGGGGTAGATAAATTAATGGAGCATAAGGCTGTCAATGGTTAGTAGCCATGAAAGCTATATACTAGCTCCACTGTTGGGAGAAAATATGCCTTTGAATAAAAGTTGTTGGGAATCACAAGTGGGAAGAGTGCTGTTCCACTAATTTCTGCTTGTGGGGCTTCCCATAGGTCCAGCCACTGTGCTAGACTTGGTGGGCAAGTAGTCTGACCCAACTACCCTGTTCTTAGGTTACCTAACAGAATGTCTTACCCATACAGACCTGACCAATCACTAAGTTCTTCTACTGAGCCTTCCCAGGTCATGGCACAACTTGCAGATGTTACCATTGTGGTGGAACAACCTCCTCTCCAAAAGAAAGGAAGACTGCCATTTCAATGCCTGCTGAGGCCTTTTCCCTGACCAGTTACGTTGATGATCTTATCTTTTATTTGTACTTCATGGTTTTTGTGAACCACCTTGTGATATGTTATGAAAAGCACTAGACAGATATTTTAAATAAACTGATGAAGTGCTCTGGTTAGTTAGAAAGTATGCCCAGGCAGAAAACAATTAACTGATAGCAACATGAATTTCTCAGAATAATTTATTTAGTGCCATGGAGAGGACCCGTCTACAGATTTATTTGCATTTAACAAAATTTATAAAACCTCTAAGTGGTTCACATGAAATATTAAAATTATAAATAAATTCCACTTCAAAATGATTCAAAGCATTTAAAAATAAATAAAATTAGTAGTAAAAGGGAGTAAAACATTTCAACAGCGATGTACCTGGATAGGTTTCCTTCAACAAAAAGGTTTTGAGCAGACCTGGAAAAGAGTCCAGCAAAGGCACCTGATGTCAACAGCCAGTGAGTTCTGAAGTGCAGGCACTGCCTACATTTTATTAGATTGATTTCTTACAACTGCAAGACATGTATTTTGTGGTGCCTGTAACAGTGACAGTTCCACAGACCAAAGCAGTCAAGAGTGCATACATGGGGTAAGGCGATCCCGCAAGTAAACTGGCTCCTAGCCGTTAAGGGTTTTATATGCCAACGATAACACCTCGAACCTGGCTGGATGAGGCTCCTGTTCAGAGAGAAGCCACTAGATGATTACTAACTGCAATTGATAGATGTTCCCAAGTCCCAGAGTGACATTTTCACAAAGCCCACAACAAGACCGATAGTGGAAAGAACTGGACAATACACAACTTTCATATATCTGGTTTATTTCACCATTCCTCAAGTGAGTGCACACACAAACAGCTCGTTTTATCATCACAACCACTCTGTGAAGTAGGCTAGACAGAAAATGTGACTACTCCAATTGGCATAATGGCTATGAACCCCTATCTCCCCAATCCTAAATCTATACTACCGCTGCCACCCTCGCCCAGCTCATTTAGAGTCTTAATATGTGACTGGAGAAGGCAAGCAGAAGAATAAAGAAACACTGCTACCTTCGTCACATTTAGCTTGGCTCACGATAATGCACGGATAGCATACTATGTGTGAGTGTTGGGCTACACTAGTCACCTTCAGCAACCTTCCCTTGCAGAAGGCCGTCACCTGACACCTGCTGCAAATACCCGCCCCCAGCAGATTCACTACTGTCCAGACACACAGGTTCTGGCACTGAGACCATGCTTGTCTAGATCTCGGGATCTTATGTCATTTATCACCAAGGGTCAGCTATTTCTATTTGTAGCTCAAGGCGTGCAGGCTTACTTTCCTCTTCCCAAGCGGCATTCAGTCTGCAGCAAGCCACCCTCCTCTGTGCTGTAGCAGCCAGGGAGGACGCAAAGTAAGGTGGGTGGGAAGAAAGTGAAGAAGGAGAAATATGGTGTGGGGGGGGGAGAGAGGAGGGGGAACAATAAGGGTTAATGCACCAAAATCATAGAACTGTAGAGTTGGCAGGGACCCTGAGGATCATCTCCTCCAACCACCTGCAAGGCAGGAATAGACAGCTGTCCCCATGCAGGGAACAAACCTGCAACCTCGGCGTGAACATCACCACGCTCTAACCAACTCCAAAATAAAATAATAATAATAATAATTCCTTGTTGGCATCCATCTGTCTCAAGAGACAATGGAAGAATGCACCATCTGGGGTAAGGTCAAACCACTGGAGAGTTACAGCAGCTAATAATATTAGTACTGTAACAGTAAACAAGTGGAAAGGAAGAGGAAATGAGAGCAGGAATATGACCCAGGTTAAAATCTCAACGCAGCCAGGAAACTCAGTCAGTGGCCGTGACCTTGGGCCAGTCGTACTTCTCTCAGCCTAGCCTACACCGCAGGGTTGCTGTGCGGATAAAAAGAGGGTGGAAACCCCGGGGAAAGGCTAGAGTCTTGAAAGGGAGAATGGAAGGATTTGAAACGGCGGCAACTACCATCGCCACCATATAAGCCACTTATAAGCGGGACAGGATAGAAAGGTCACAAATGCAAGAGCAACAGAAAAAGCGGCAGCGAGTCTTTCATGGCTGAAGTGCCACCACCCACCTGGCACCTGCAGACGACGTCGGCCTCCGTGGCCAGCAGGTCCACCACCTTGCCTTTGCCTTCGTCCCCCCACTGCGAGCCCAGCACCACCGTCACCCGGTTGCCGCCCGGCTCGCTCCGCAGCCGCTTCAGGCCACCGGCGCCGGCTGGGTGAGGGGCGCGGTCATTGGACGCGGCCGTCGCCGCCCGGGTGCCCGACATGACGCTGGCTGGACGGCTCTGTCGGCGGCCTGAGAGAAATTCCTTCTGCTCGCACGAGCCCGCCTCGAATGCCCGTTCGCCCGCTCTTCGCCTTTTTGTGCCGGCACTCGGCCAATCGCGGCGGCCGGAGCACTGACGTAAGACAAGGGAAGGAGCGGGGTTGGGTGTCTCCGAGCTGGAGGTGGGGCGGGCGAAGCAGTTGGGGGCGGGCCTACGGGCGTCGCCAAAGGGCGCGCGAAGCGTTCCTGAGGGGAAAGGGCGGTTCGCCTCAGACGAAGCAGGCGGCGGGATTTTAGAAGCCGTTACCCCCCACCCAAAAAAACAAATTTCGAAATAAAATTAATTACGCATTTGAAATAACCATTCAAACCGAGCATTCCGTCAGCTAAGAGTTCGCTCCCCTTAAGAATGTAACCCTATCGTGCCAATGTTAAATAAACCAAGACGAAAACTTAAAAAATAAAAAGGAATAAAAATATGCGTATGAAAGTTAATATAGCACACTGAAATCAATATTATTTATTTACTCTTAAATAGAAAGGTGTTTATTATTATTATTAAAGAATTAGAATTTATATGCTGCCCTATACAGGTACCTGCAGGCTCCGGGTGGTTCACAAAATAAAATCAGAATATAAAACCACAAAATACATAATAAAAATAAAAACAACAACAACCCAAAACCCCACACACATGTACTTTAAAAGGGCATAGAATGCCTATCAAATAACAGTTAATACAAATATTATATATTTATGAATCTACCAAAAAACCAAAATGTGGAATTAAACACATTACGCATTTGAAAGAACTATTAAAACCAAGCATTTTGTTACCTATGAGTTCGCTCCCCTGAAGAATGTAAACGTATCTTGCAAATGTTAAATAAACCCAGATGAATACTTTTAAAGAAATTTCTGTGTATGAAAGTTCATATAGCACACTGAAGTCCTGGCTTGAATTTTACCTCAGACCAATGGGACACAACCACACACCATGGATTTTCCAAAATAATCCTGGATGTGAACTATAGGTTGTTAAGGGTGCTGGGAATTACAGTTCTGTGAGGAGTAAATGACTGTTTGTTTGTTTGTTACATTTAAATACCACCTTTATCTTCCAAGGAGCTCAAGGTGGTGGCACATGGTTCTCCTCCTCCCCACTTCATCCTCACAACCACCCTGTGAGGTAGGTTAGGCCACAAGGCAGTGACCGGACCAGGGTCACCCAGTGAGTTGTCGGGGTTCGAACCCTGGTCTCCCAGGTCACAGTCGGGGCTTTTTTTTTTCAGGTGGGCGCCATTGCCATTCTAAGACAGCAAAGGAGAAGTTCCTGGTTCCTCATTTTCTAGAAAAATAGCACTGGTCATTATCCAACACTAACCATTACGCCACACTGGCTCCCAGGATTCTCTGGGGAAAGTCGTCTGCTTTGAATGTGTGGTGTGGAAGTGGCCTAAGGGAAGCCAGTTTGTTAGCGTCACATGTGTGCACATGCACACACTCTCTGACCCAGGAGTGGCGCAGCTCGAAACAGCAACCTGCCACCCCACCTCTTTTACCTGCGTGGCGTGGCAGCACCCTCAAAGCACTGGAAACCAGTACAGCTGGAGAGGTGGTGGGGTGGGCAGCACTGGTGCTGCCTTTGGGGCTTCCGGCGCTTGAGGCGGTCACCTCATCTCTGGGCCTGCCCTGCCTCAATATGAAGAGAGCTACACTGGCCTGCATCACAGGAAAACTAGATTGCCCTGGTGACATATAAATGGCAGGAGCTACCATGGTTTGCCCTTCATAGCCACGTGTCTAAGGAGAGTCCAAAAATGCCAGCAGCATTTTTGTGCCATGTACCCCAAAGAGCAAAGGTGTATTGTATAAAACCCAATTTATTAACATCAGCTTGATTGCATTCCTATGCACAGTTCCCTCGGAGTAAGCTCTACTGAATTAAAAGGTAAAGGTACCCCTGCCCATACGGGCCAGTCTTGACAGACTCTAGGGTTGTGCGCCCATCTCACTCTATAGGCCGGGGGCCAGCGCTGTCCGCAGACACTTCCGGGTCACGTGGCCAGCGTGACAAGCTGCATCTGGCGAGCCAGAGCCGCACACGGAACACCGTTTACCTTCCCGCTAGTAAGCGGTCCCTATTTATCTACTTGCACCCGGGAGTGCTTTCGAACTGCTAGGTTGGCAGGCGCTGGGACCGAGCGACAGGAGCGCACCCCGCCGCGGGGATTCGAACCGCCAACCTTTCGATCGGCAAGTCCTAGGCACTGAGGCTTTAACCCACAGCGCCACCCGCGTCTACTGAATTAAGTGGTGTTTATTTCTGACTGCAAGAGTCCAACCACTGCTCAGCAGTCAACCGAAATGCAACCTTTTATCTTTTCACTGGAAATGCAGTCTTGCAAAGAAGCATTACCGTTTATAAAGTTTAGGGACTCCCGTCAAAGGAAGGAAAGAAGGATCCAGCCTCTCTCTGCTTGATTTATTTTCCTCGTTCTCTGACTTCCTTTATTCCCAGACTTGAAGGCCTCATTATCACCTCACTGGCCAAAACAAGGAGGGTCCATCAATTAGCCTGGAACTGTGGAACATGCTACTGCATCACTTCTGTCCTGAGAAAAGTTCCAGAGCTCTACTCCCTCAACTACCCCATTTACAGCCAGAGATGCAAGAGATGGTCTGTGGTATGCACAATTTTGAGAAGGTTGAGGGAGACAAAGCATGACAGAGGTACATGGCAACTGAGAGGAGGTTAATCTTATGGTACAGGCACATGCTGGTGCCAGACTTAAAGGGACCCTTCCCCCCAAAATAATAATAATTCAGGAGCAACTTAGAAATATTCATTTACCCAGGTACTTAATGGCTGAAAGATAATGTGCTTGGTAACCTTGAAATTGTTACATATGATGGTATGTGGCTGTTTTAAAATAAACACATCAATTGTATTGGTTTACCACTTTGCTGTTTGCCGCCCTGGGCTCCTTTGGGAGGGAAGACGGCAGAAAAATCTAAGAAGGAAGGAAGGAAGGAAGGAAGGAAGGAAGGAAGGAAGGAAGGAAGGAAGGAATAGTATATCGTATATCTACAATTTTTTTCTAGTCGCTTTGTCCATCAATGTGGCAAAATGTCAAACAATCGTTTCTTGCCAATAATTCATTTCCAAAATCCAGAGAACTACATTGCCATTTTCTCCCAAGTATCCTTCTACTTTTTAAAGAAGTTCGTTTTTAAGTATTTTTAGACCTTCCATCACAATTGTGGAACAATCCTTTCAGGTATGAACATATTTAGTGGCATTAGATCACTTGGTTTAATGGTGAGGGGGTACTTTTGTGAATACCTTCTTTACCATGAAACTGTAGTGAGACAGAGGAGTTTAAGGAGAGAAAGCAAATAATTTTTTCACTTTTATATATATATTTAAATAAATGCATATACAGTCCTGCATTGATGTATACAAGTTGCTTTTGATTTTAAAGAAACAACAATTTGCAAGTCCTTTCATCTGCATCAGATCCAGTGGCCCTCCAGCTGTTGTTGACCAATTCCCACCATTGGCCATGCTGTCCGAGGCTGGTCAGGGACGATGGGTATTGTAGTCCACAGAACACAGAAAGCTTCCTTACACAGAATCAGACCACTGGTCCACCTAGCTTAATACTGTCTACACTGATTGGCAGCTCCAGACAGGCTCTCCTAGACCTACCTGGATCTCCTGGGGACTGAACCTTGGTACCTGGTCCATGGAGGCGCAGGTCAATTCTGTATCCAGGGCAGCTGTCTACCAACTCCGCCTGGTACGCAGGTTGGTACGCAGGCCAGAGTGGTGCATGCTCTAGTTATCTCCCGCTTGGACTACTGCAATGCGCTCTATGTGGGGCTACCTTTGAAGGTGACTCGGAAACTACAGCTAATCCAGAATGCGGCAGCTAGACTGGTGACTGGGGGCGGCCGCCGAGACCACATAACACCGGTCTTGAAAGACCTACATTGGCTCCCAGTACGTTTCCGAGTACAATTCAAAGTGCTGGTGTTGACCTTTAAAGCCCTAAACGGCCTCGGCCCAGTATACCTGAAGGAGCGTCTCCACACCCATCGTTCTGCCCGGACGCTGAGGTCTAGCGCCGAGGGCCTTCTGGCGGTTCCCTCATTGCGAGAAGCAAAGCTACAGGGAACCAGGCAGAGGGCCTTTTCGGTAGTGGCGCCCGCCCTGTGGAACGCCCTCCCATCAGATGTCAAAACGATAAACTACCTGACATTCAGAAGACATCTTAAGGCAGGGAAGTTTTGAATGTATGATATTTTAGTGGTTTCTATGGAAGCCGCCCAGAGTGCCTGGGGAAACCCAGCCAGATGGGCGGGGTACAAATAATAAATTATTATTATTATTATTATTACCTTGGAAAGCAGATGCACAACCACTCAGCGGCACCCACCTAGAGGGCCCAGATTCCCCATGCTCACTCTACAGTTTCAAGGCAAAAAAACTGGAAAGAATTAGGCAAATCCTCACGTCAAATTCACGACCATTTCTGCCTTCCCACTCCACAGAGCACAGGGATGACAGCATAGAAGGAATAACAAGCAAAAGGCTAGGCAGGCGAAGTTCACTTAGCAGCAGGCAGCTGGCAGGCATGCTACTTAAGCAGAGCATGTTCCCCTTTCTGGAGGAGCAGGAATGCTTTATAGGGAAATGAGCGGCTGGCTGACATTTCCCCCCCGAAGCGGAGGTGGTGACATTTGCCACAACACTGCTATCCCTTTCCTTTAGAAATAGAGCCATTGTGGGGTGGAGGGACAGATGACATATTGTGCAACCAGCAAGGCACTCAGAATGCACACAGGCGTTGTCCCATTTTATCTGATGTGCAACAAACCTGTCAGGGAAGCAGTTAACCCAAAAGCATGACCAGCCCAAGGTCAGCCTTATGCCCGAGCAGTGATTTGAACCCTTTCGGCCACCCACTCCAAACCCAGCATGCTGGCTCTCAAATATTTGCTTTGCCCCAAACCATTACGTTATTTCATTTCTGGCTTTTCAGTTATTTAAATAAAATTGACTGCATCTTAA